GACCAATCAGATCACGAGCGGTCCGATGAGAGATAGTCTAAGCCAATCAGCGCCCGTTTGTTATTCAACGCATATGGGAGTGACGTCACCTCGTAAAGGTTCTCGTGATAGAACAAGAAAAAAAAGCATTTTTGGTTATTTGACTAGGAGAAAAGTAAAACATATAAATAATATATATATATATAAGATATATATAAATATGATATATAAGATAAGTGACTTATCTCTGTTCCTGCACGAGATTGGCCCGGACCAATCAGATCACGAGCGGTCCGATGACAGATATCTTGAGCCAATCAGCGCCTGTTTGTTATTCAACGCATATGGGAGTGACGTCACCTCGTAAAGGTTCTCGTGATAGAAAAATAAAAAATGCATTTTTGTTTATTTGACTTGGAGAAAAGTAAAACAGATAAATAACGTGCACGAGATTGGCCCTGACCAATCAGATCACGAGCGGTCCGATGAGAGATATCTTGAGCCAATCAGCGCCCGTTTGTTATTCAACTCATATGGGAGTGACGTCACCTCGTAAAGGTTCTCGTGATAGAAAAAGAAAAAAAAATGCATTTTTGTTTATTTGACTCTGAGAAAAGTAAAACAGATAAATAAGATAGATATATAAGATAAATGACTTATCTCTGGCCCGGACCAATCAGATTACGAGCGGTCCGATGAGAGATAGTCTAAGCCAATCAGCACCCATTTGTTATTCAACGCATGTGGGAGTGACGTCACCTCGTAAAGGTTCTCGTGATAGAAAAAGAAAAAAATGCATTTTTGTTTATTTGACTTGGAGAAAAGTAAATAAGATAATAATATGATAAATGATTTATCTCTGTTCGTGCACGAGATTGGCCCCGACCAATCAGATTACGAGCGGTCCGATGACAGATATTCTAAGCCAATCAGCGCCCGTTTGTTATTCATATGGGAGTGACGTCACCTCACAATTATTTTCGAGATAGAACAAGAAAACAAGAAAATGGGAAGCAGATGGGAAGCAAATGCATCTTTGTTTATTTGATTTTGATAAAAGTCAAAAGGAAAAATTAGATAAATGACTTATCTCTGTTCGTTCACGAGTTATTTTGCCAACGGGGACAAAAATCCCCGTAAAATATTTGATTATCTGTGGACAGTCAGCTTTAAGATTGAGGGATAAAGATGCAAACTTTGTGCAAATGCTGTTGGCCAGCTCACTAATCTCTAAGATGCCAGTTCAAATCGTGGGCTGGAAGAGTTGGTATCCTGCTTATGTGGTGTTTTAAGTCTTTAATTTTGACCCAAATCAGACTATCAGTCTGTTGTTTGAACAAAACTAGATTGTAAAGGCAAAGGGGATAAAAGGCAAAGGAAATGCAGATTGGCTGCAACAGGAGGACGGCAGATGAGTCTCAAAAGGTCTAAAAAGGTGTAAAGTAACTTGTTGTATCAGCTCATTTTAGTATATATATATATATATATATAGATAGATAGATAGATAGATAGATAGATAGATAGATAGATAGATAGATAGATAGATAGATAGATAGATAGATAGATAGATAGATAGATAGATAGATAGATAAATATTAATATTCCCCAGGATAGTTTTGAGTGGTGACATAGAATGTATTAAGAGATTTTGCTTTGGGAAGCATGTTCATACATGTAGAAGTTGTAAATGTTACCAACACGTCATTGCATTATTATGGTCACATACATCCTTTTCTACTAAGAAAATAGGTGCTAATAATCACAGTAAAAAAACAGGCTGAGGTTTG